AGCTTCTAGCTTCTCCTTATGAACTTCCTGGCGGACCAGCAGAAGTTATAGCAAAATTAATCAAAACAATTAAGGGCATCCTTCATTCTTATAAACGTCTGGTATTCGATTATCTCATCCCCCAGCGACATCATGCTAAAACGTTCCCACATGTCAATGCCAATATGTAATTTTCCATTTACTTTTTCTAGTTTTGAATATAGTTTTCTAAAGATCGCACGTCCGCAAAGGCAGACAAGGCCAGCATGTCTGTTGAAAAAAAAGATAGTAGCAAGAAAATTGAGACTTAATAAAAATAATCTTATGTAATTCCAGTCACTTACCCGTTTGTTTGTGTATATATGTCTTCGATTACCTCCTGGTCAATAGTTAACTTGTATTCGTCCACGAATTCTTTGTATAGGAATTCCACTTGTTCCATAGTGAAGTTTGGGTTCCGAAACGGTTCATTAACGTTAAAAGGCGATACCGTAAAATCATTCTTTAAATACAGGATACTAAAAGGTCCGATGGCAAAGACAGACTTAATAGCATAGCTATCTTTTGTTATTTTAATGCCACGAAGGGTACTTAGACACGAAGAGCGAACATCGTCTGTCGCAAAGTATAACCTATCAAACTCGTCGATAAGGAGAACAACAGAATTTTCCCACCTATCTTTTTTAAACGCTAGATCGAAATCATTAGCAGAATTAATGCTGTCGAGCCCAATTTGTTTGGGAGCGTTAATATGAAGATGAGTGCCAAATGTATGCCAGAATTTGTCTACATTTTGGATGTTAACTTGTTCAAGAGACACACTGATCCAGATAAAAAAAAAGACAGTAGAAATAGAGGCGATAGTTAGATTGCATACAATGGACCAGTTGGTTTGAATGATAGTCGGAACTTACTAAATGCAAGCAAAGCCTTTGCTATTCAATTGGTCCTGAAGTTGGAGCATCCGTGTAGACTTGCCAGAGGCTCGTGGCCCATGTAGCGCTACGAATTCACCCCGATATATCGATTCAAGAAGCGGGATATTCTGTTCTGTCGGATCCACAAAGTAGACGATAGGACGCTCTTCTCTCGTAATAGCACTATTTACCATCCATTTTCTTTTCTTCGGTGCTGTAATCACAACTGATCAAAAAAATATTAGTGAAAATAAGCACAACACAAAGCAAAGCCAACTCTGTATAATCTTACGTTCTTCCTCTGCTTTTCTTTTTTTCTTAAGTTCTAATATTAGTGAGGCACAGGTTAATAAATGAAATTATTGCGGAGAAAGCAGTATAGGTTTGGAATATGAGTCAGAGACTCGACACTTTGTGTCTTC